AATATCAGTAATATAAAAATGGAAGACAAAAACTAAATAAAACTACTCGATTCTATAAACAGGTTGTACTAGATGTTCATGACTTCAAGAGTGGAGACGTTAAGGTCAGAGTGGAAGATAATCAGGTGGTGGTGGAAGGTTGCGTGGAAAAGGAAGAAGGTGACTTCAAGTCCATGAAAAGCTTCTGTCGACGTTTCAACTTCCCAGGCAAAGTGGACATGGAGGCCGTGACTTCCGCAATGTCTTCCGATGGCGTGTTGACTGTCACGGCTCCGAAGATTCCACAGGCAGCATAGGAAAACATATTTCATTAACTGGAACTGTAATCTAATCTTAAAACAATGTGTTTAAGGAGCTATTTATTGTTATTTTTGATAATGTTAAAATAAATAATGATTTTGTTATTTTATGAATAAATTGTATTTGTTTACATATACGACTTTTCTTGCCTTCCCTTTTTGCGAAAATGTTTTGATAACAGATGGTTACCTAAGTAGGAAGTACTTGAAATGTACACACATACATATGGTATGTTATAATCATCTTTCTATCTCTCTAAATGTACATGTGTGTTTATGTGTGTTTCCGTGCGCGCGTTTGTACATATACATATCTGTACTTATATTGTCCTCACACCAATACACACAAAGAATGTTTGTGTGTGTTCAGGCGCATTTTTGACCGTAAGATAATTCAAGAATTTTGAAAATTCTCGAAACATCCTTCTTGTCAGATATCTTGGTCTGGTTTCGTAACCAAACATTTTCAAACTTCCTCTGCTACACTTTCATGACGTCACAACAGTAAACAAACCGACAACGTGACCGACGGAAATGAATGACAACGATGAAATTCTCGTAATGATTTACTTATTTTGTCGCCAATAGATTATGATATATACTAGCAAGTTGTTTTATCTACCAGAAGTTCAAGCTATTTATAACTGTATTATTGCTTTCCTGGGAAAACCATAATACAAAGTGCGTTTTTATTTACCGATGTTATTTCCATTCTAAAGTCGCAGTTGAAAGACCCATCTTTGTTATGAATGGTAGATATTATCCTTTTAGATTTGCTATAAAGTGTGTGGACGATTATTCTTTTTTTTCATAACTTTTGTGCTACGCAATATGTATAAGATATTTTGAAATTCGTTTATCTTCTTCAGTAAATGTAAAACCACGACAAAAAATGATTTCTTCGTCGGTAATATCACTAACATTACTAACAGCATCCACTGTTCTCTTCTGCGAATAATTCTGTCACTCACCATCTCGCATTGCGGTCGTTTGTTTACATTGATAGCAAGCTGGAAGTTGGGTCTGTGTTTGACGAATTCGGAAGGCGAAGCAAAAAAACCATCTTCTTGTATAGTATATATATATGCATATCTCTATATGGGTGTATGTGTTATATGTATATATGTTTATATTTGAAAGTATATATAGTGTTGTGTGTGTTTATGTGAATGATTATTATTATATATAATGACCATTCATGGAAAATATCTATAAGAATAATTACTATTTAGGCATTTTTCGCAAGGTTTCACCGAAAGCAATAATTTTAGCTAAGTTGAGAACTAGAAGTTTCACGATTTTTCGAATGAAGATGTTGCCAATTGTGCCATAGTCCCGCGTCCAGAAAGAGGTGAGAAGTGGGCGCACACCCAACTCGCGCCACATAAAAGCCTCAGCAGCCGCCTCTCGCTAGACACAACGGAAACAACACTCGGAGAGAGAACAAAGCAAGCTGTAGCTTTATCTACATTTTCACGTCTTACTCTACCTTATTGAAGCGCTAAACAATAGAGAAAAATGGAGAACAAAGGTACTACGCCCTTGCTGAACAGAAACAGAAGCTCCCGAATGCAAAGAGGATTCACTTCTCCCCATCGCTGAGAAGGGACTTTTCTTCCACGATTCCTTCTTCGAGGATATTCGGAAGCACTTTGAGACAGCCATCGACCAAATGCTGGACACTTGGGGAGAAGCCAAATCCGTGAGTGATCTGATGAGTAGCTACAGACGTGTAAGAGACCGCAATATGCAGCAGGAGAACCAAGTCATGGCCTTCAGCGAAGACGACCAGAATCATAAGGTTAGTTCTACAATCTAAAATCCATGTGGGCAAACTAATAATTTAAACATTATTTACATGAATAGAAATATGTTTAAAAACTTTTCAATTGAAGATTAGGTTTTAAAAATAAAAGAGTATTTAGATATCATTAATATAAAATGAAAGACAAAAAACTAGTAAAATAAATACTACTCGATTCTATATACAGGTTGTACTAGATGTTCATGACTTCAAGAGTGGAGACGTAAGGTCAGAGTGGAAGATAATCAGGTGGTGTGGAAGGTCGAGTGGAAAAGGAAGAGGGCGACTTCAAGTCCATGAAAAGCTTCTGTCGACGTTTCAACTCCCAGGCAAAGTGGACATGGAGGCCGTGACTTCCGCAATGTCTTCCGATGGCGTGTTGACTGTCACGGCTCCGAAGATTCCACAGGCAGCATAAGCATATATCATTAACTGTGATTGTAAAATAATCTTAAAGACAATGTATGTTTAAGTAACTACTTATT